CGAAAGGGAAAAGACAGAAGATGAGTGACAGAAACAGGAATAACAGAGGTCTGGTATGGCTTATACCATGCTTATGGGGTTGCAACCAACAGCAGGTGTATTTGATCTTCTCGGTGGCAAGTACAGTGGCCAATCCAGTCTTGCCCTCTTTTTCCCTTGTCACTTCCTTTTTACTAATTTCTAGGCCAATTGTTTTTGACAGTCCTTAACTGTAGTTTCCCACTGTTCCTCAGGTATCTCTCATTCAACAGGCACTAATAATTTCCATCCACAAAACAAAGTTTTTATTTCAGTTGTTCTTAGTTCTATCTGGATAGGGGATATATTCAGTACTTGACACTTCTTGCAACGAGAGCATAGACTGTGTGAACTACAATACCAATTATTCCCACAATTTAAACATTTACTTATAACCCTGCTAGCGTGTCCAGTATTGGGATGAATCAAATAGAGTATACAGTATGGCACTGATGGAAATGGTAATTTCCCCTCTTCTTTGTACAAGTCACAGGCTAAGGTTAGAATACGAGAACTCTCTGTTCAAAACAGTCCTGATCCTCCTGTTTGAAGTGGAAGTATTCCTCCCCAAGGAGGTGTCAGAGGCGTCTCAGGGCTTATTCAGGCAGTACTTGAAACCAGTGATGTAAGCTTGGCCTTATTTCCCAATTAGGTGTGATTCTTTGTACATTCTTTGGATCATTTGGGTCCTTCCAGTTCATTACCACGCAGTCCCCATTTAAGAGTCAGTTTGGTATCACCCAGTGCTGATGTTATAGTTCATTCCTTTGGTTCTTCCACAGGTCCTTTGATTTTGCTGGCGTGGATCCACCCTCATTCCCTTGTCCGGATCTCAGCCTCAGTCATCAGTAGTACCTGAAAAGGGCCTTCCTACTGTGGGGTTAAAGATTGTTCTTTTCATGTTTTCACTAGTACCCATTCCCCTGGATGGATATTATGAATTTTAAATTCTAAAGGTGTGGTTTGAGGGATTATCCCTTTCAACCGCAAATTTTCAAGAGTTTTTGCAATTGTGGTGACATATTTTCTAACAGTCATTTCCCAACACTCATTTCCCCTACTTCATAAGTAGCAGTTTCATGTTGGGTGGTCAGAAAGGGTAACCTGAACATCATCTCATAATGTGACACTCCTAGGTCTGACCTGGGTTGTGTTCAGACCCTCAATAGAGCCAAAGGTGGACATTTTACCCATGACATTTGGGTTTCAATCATTAATTTTGTTAAAGTCCTCTTTAAAGTCTGGTTCATCCTCTCTACCCAGCCTGAACTCTGTGGATGTCATGGGGTGTGTAACTCCCATTTTATTCCCAAGGCTTGAGTTATTTGCTGTAAGACTTTTGATGTAAAATGTGTTCCTCTATCTGAGTCTACCCTATTAACCATTCTGTACCTGGGAATAATTTGTTCCAAAAGGGTTTTACATACTACATTGGCTGTGGCTCTGACAGTAGGAATAGCTTCCACCCAATAAGTTAGATGGTCTATTATTACTAATAAAAATTTCCATCTCTGTACTTGGGGAAGTTCAGTAAAATCCACTTGGATACTTTGAAATGGTCGAAGAGCTAACTCATGGCCTCCAAATGTTATTTTCCTCATTACTTTTTTATTTACCTTTTTATTGTATTTGTGGGGTGCCCTCGTGGCAGGAAGGAATGATGAATCTGACTCCATGTTCTCAGAAAGCTAATTTATTATTTTATGATACTATATTATATTAAAGGATACTATACTAAACTATACTAAAGAATACAGAAAGGATACATACAGAAGGTTAAAAAGATAATAATAAAACTCGTGACTCTCTCCAGAGTCAGACACAGCTTGGTACTGGTTGGCCAATAAGTCAAAACAATTCACATGAAACCAATGAAACAATCACCTGTTGGTAAACAATGTCCAAACACATTCCAAAGCAGCAAAACACAGGAGAAGCAAATGAAATAATATTGTTTTTCTTTTTCTCTGAGGCTTCTCAGCTTCCCAGGAGAGAAATCCTGGATGAAGGGATTTTCCAGAAAATATGAATGTGACACCTTTTGACAAATTATACACCTTTCATTTTTTTTTGCCAATCCAAAAATCCCAATATGCCCGTAATTCCTTAGAAAGTGATCACACAGAGCTTGAGTACCCCAATGAGTTTTTTGATCCGTCTTCTAATATTTTCCTCGTAAGTGGCTTATTAAGTAATTGTCTCCCATCAGGGAGTTTCCATTTCCCTAACTGTTCTTTCTCTCCCCCTATCCTACTTAGTTCCCTTTCTTCCATCTCACTAAACTTTGGAACATCCAATTCTTCCTTATCTGTGGTCATAACTAACATAACCCTTTTGGTCCCATTTTCTGCTGCATGCCTAGCCTCTTGATCTGCCAAATCATTTCCTCTTATTTCCAAAGTAATTCCCCTTTGGTGTCCTTTAACATGTACTACAGCTATTTCTTCAGGCAATGTTAATGCCTCTAAAACCTCCAAAATGAGTCCATCATGTATCAGTCCCTTTCCTTTTGAGTTTAGTAACCTTCTTTCTTCCCAAATTTTTCCAAAGGTGTGCAGTACCCCAAAAGCATACTTTGAATCAGTATATATGGTTCCTTTCTTGTGTGCCAAATATTCCAGTGCTCTTTTTAGAGCATATATTTCACAAGACTGAGCTGACCAATTTGAAGGTAGTTTCCCTTTTTCGATGGTCTGCATCATTTGACCATCAACCAAGGCGTATCCTGACATTATTTTTCCTTGTATGCATCTGGATGAACCATCAACATATATACTTTCCCCTTCTGGGAGGGCTTGCTCTGCTAGATGTTCTCAAACTTTAGTTTAGTATTGTATAATTTCTAAACAATTATGTTTTAAATTACTTTTTGGTTCCCTGTTGTATCGTGCTTTTTGTTTTATCAGTAGGTCTATGGTTTGATTTGTGATTTAGTAGTTTTCCTTGGTGCTGGTTTTTCTTTTGTCTCCACCCTTTTCCCAGAAATGTCGTCAGCTAGTTTCTATTTCTCCAAATTTTACCCATTTCCTAAGACTGTTTTTCTTCCTTGGAAGTTTATTGGTTCGTTACCGTTATTCTCCGCCTGGGTTTTTACTCCCAACTCTCCTGATTTGTTGGAAGTTGGGTCTGCCCCTGCCTTTCCCCTGAGATATAAGTCTTTGTTGGCCCCCTAACTGGGGCCCAGGAAGAAAGAGGGGAAGAAACACCATCAAATAAAGTTTCCCTGGGACCCCTGTGCGCTGCCTGTGTTTTATTCTGCGCCGAAACAACTGACAACTGGGATTCAAGGAGCTCCAGGGGGAAAACTGCCGCCCCCCACTCTAAACATCAGCTAGCTGGGGGAAGAGAAGCGGCAGAGTTCCCCACATAAAAATTGTGCTGGATTCAAACTTTTGTTTACTTCTAGTGTCAAGTCATCACTGTTCATCAAAATATCTTCATATTTTAATATCCTAGAATGTTAACCATTTTTCAGCTTTTTGATTTAACACATTTCAGACTGCATGAGGTGTATACACAATTAGTTTACTTCCAAAAGTAAGTTTACATCTTTCCTCCACCAAAATAGCAGTAGCTGCTATGGTTTGAATACATACTGGTCAGCCATGGCTCACTGGATCCAACTAGTTTGATAAATATGCTATTGGTCTTTTTATTCCCCCCCATTCTTGGACTAAAACTCCATGAGCTACTCCACCTTCCACATTCACATACAAAAGACAGGGGTTTTCTAATGAAGGCAAACTCAAAGCTGATACCAAAACCAGCTTCAACTTCAATTCTTCTAATTTATTGTCATCTTCCCTAGTCCAATTAAAATAATTTCTCTCTGACAATTTTTCATGTAAAAAATTTACTGCCTGTGTATACCCTTCTATCCATAATCTACAATATCCCAATAATCCGAGCAGCCTCCTAACCTCCTTCATTGTAGAGGGAGGGGGAAGAGATAAAATCCCTGCAATCCTCTCAGGATCCAGCTTTCGGCTACCTTTGCTTATTAAGTAGCCGAGATATTTTACTTCTGGTTCTACAAATTGTAGCTTCCCTTTTGATACTCTTAATCCTTTTCCCCCAAGAAAATTCAAAAGTTTTATAGTAGCCTTCAACTTCAGCTTCTCCTGATAGTAAAAGATCATCCACATATTGGGTAATTTGTATCCCAGGAGGAGTGGGGAAAGTTTGTAATATTTCTTCTAAAGCTTGTCCAAATAAGTTTGGAGATTCCATAAATCCCTGTGGTAACTTTGTCCATCTTAGTTGCTGTTTTCTCCCAGTATTCGGATCCTCCCATTCAAAGGCAAAAATATTTTGACTTTCCTCTGCTAATGGGCATGTCCAAAAAGCTAACTAAAAGGTAACTGGTACTGGGTCTCAGGGAAGGGGTGGGACCCCTTGGAGGAAGGGAGCCAAAGGTTTTCCTGGAACAATCCACTGGGAAAGTGGGATAAAAAGTGGAAGAGGGCCCTTAAAAATTCTTCTGGGTTGAGGAATAAATATGCCCAAGAGCATCCGGGATTAAACCTGCTGGGTTGAGGGATTAATTTGCCCAAGAGCATCCAGGGTTAAGCAAAAATCTGCCGTATTGAGGATATGCCCAAGAGCATCCAGAGTTGGGCAACACAGCTGGGTTGAGGGATAAAACTGCCCAAGAATATTCAGGGTTGGACAACACAGCTGGATTGAGGGGTACCCAAGAGCATCTGGGGCTGGCCAATAACATCTGAAATTGTAAAGTAAAAGGTACCTTAGTGTTGTCTTGTGTTTGAGAGTGAGTCATACGCAAAATCAGCTCTAGCTTCCTGGGTGGGTGGGGAGCTGTGGCAAAAGGTGTATGTGACCCGCAAACAAGCCATTGTTCCCCGGGCATGTGGGAACTGTGGGGAGAGTGAGTGACACGCAGACAGCCTCACAGGTGAACTGGCACCAGAGGCAAACCAAACCTCAGGGGAGGTGGAAGGTGTGAGGGTGGGGGGGCCTACATGGACCAGGGATTCTCTGAAAACAGGGGTCCACTTCATGTGAGTCTAAGAGATTTGGCCAGTGTCAAACTATGACATTTTAATTTAAAAAACTAGAAAGATAAAACAAATCAGAATGCCACACACTAAGTGAACTGTGAATAATTGGCAGGCCTCCAAACAGAAGAGGAACAATCAGCAAAAATTTGTGTGAGTCATTCAGATCCTCTTGGGATCAGTTTTGTCTGTCTACTATTCTTTTTTATCAATGGTCTTGAAGAAGCTATACTGAATTATCACCATGTCACATTAGTGGATTATGCAAGAATTGAGGGTGTGAGAAATAATGGAGTGACTTGCAGTGACTTGGAGCTCTAGGTAAACAAGGTACACCTAAATTTATATTTATATAAATATTTTATTTATATCTTAGATACATATTATACATATTATTTTAAAAAAATCTATATGCTATCTCAATATGGCAAAACACAATATCTTAATTGTGGACTAAAAAGTACAGGCAATCTTTGCATCTTAAGCACTTTTAATCTTTAATAAAATATGCTACCTAGAAACATATATATGACTCAGCCTTGATAAGTAATTTTGAGTTTTTGGCATGCCACGCTCAGAAGGACTCAAGGTTTGAAAAGATGCCTCACTGACAGCAGAGACGAGGGACTCCATTTACTCGGTTTAAAGACAAGACTGTTGAGAGCTCTGTGTGCTCATCTGAGTTTAGTTGCTGAGTTTATATATATATATATATGTAGATTAATTTAGTCCTGGGGGCTGCACTAGCAATCAGAATCAGACTTGGGGCAATAAGTGAAATCCAGCAGACTTAAGGTTGTAAATAAAGCACTTAAAAAAAATTAATTTATGAGAGTGTACTACCCAGCCCCCGGGTTATGCCGCGGCAGACACCGGCTCTCGAGCCCCCCTTCCCCTCCGCCCTGAGCGTTGGATTAATCGTCCTCCACAGCCCCAGCTAACGATTAGTGTGAAAAATGTGTATTTTATGATTGGCTTTTCGCAAGTATTAAAATGAATAGTAATAGTCAATAAGAGCTGGCACCACCCGCACTCCCTAAGGCTGAGGCGGCCGCATCCCAGAGGCTCTCCGTCCACAGCTCCGGCCCCGTGAGGGGCTCCTCCCGCCCGCGGCACTTTCCGGTCGTACCCCCCCGCCTGCCACTACCACATCCTCCGCTGACATCAGCCTACGCCGCCATATTGGAAGAGAAGTCACCTCCGCCATCTCTGCCGCAGCAGGCGGGGAACGCTGGCTCCCACCGCCACTGCCTCGGCCGAATCCTGCTCCCCATGATTCCCCTCGGCCTGCCGTTGCCCCGGTGGGGATAGGGCGGAGACAGGAGTGGCTGCCGTCTCTTCTTCTTTCCCCCTCCCGATCTGTCGCAAAGTTCCTGTCCCCGTGGCGGGCCTTTGACCTTCCACCGCCTCCAGCCATGACTTCCTTGACCCAGCGTAGCTCCGGGCTGGTGCAGCGCCGGACAGAGGCCTCCCGCAACGCCGCCGCCGCCAAGGAGCGGGAGACGGGAGGCGGCTCTGAAGATGAAGGCCGCCGGGACGAGCCCGGTGACGACGAGAAGGGTGACTCCAAGGAAACACGCCTCACCCTCATGGAAGAGGTGCTGCTCCTGGGTCTCAAGGACCGTGAGGTGCGGCCGGGCGCGCTGAGTAGGGGGTGGCTGACGGGATACCGCTTATTCGGGGGCCTATGGAGGTTGTTGATGGGGAAGGGGAACGTAAGTGGCGCTAGGGCGCGGGTGGGATGGGAGCAAGGATGTTGCTGGGTGAGAGTTGCTGTAGGTGTGGGGCAGAAGCGTTGTGGGGGACGGTGGACTGTTATGTAGCTTAGGGGTAGGGGCGCGTGCTGGAACAGGCTCGGGATTTAGGAGAGGTGGGGAAGGGGATTGGATGTTGAGCGGAAGGAAACCTGTAGGAGATTTTGGATTGCCCTTTGAATGCAGGATTTGCAGAGAGGCTCTAATATTTGTAGGATCTCAAGGAAGGCAGAGTAGGGCTTGGAGGAGGAAGAGGTCCTGGACCCTCTGATAGCGTTGGTAGTTGACTTAGAGGCCCTGGTTAGACCTCTAATATTTTTGTACTCTTGTACTTACCTGTAACTAATGTGGCAGGCTTATGTACTCCTATGTATTTTGTCAGACACAACTTTATGGTGCTTATGGGGTTCTCAGGTGCTTTAGTATGCTTAGTGGCCCTTTTTAATAAGACTTTCCAGAGTACTGTTGTGTTAAAAATGTCTTTAAGTTTGGGGAGATATATTTGACAAAAATGGGCCTTGAATAATGAGAAGTTTATCAAAATGAGGAAATGGCATTACTATGTAATTCTTAAATTTTGCTGAATTTATAGCTTAATTAGGTGACATGAAGCTGTTAACAACAGTCATTGAGGAAGGTATAATTCTACTAGTGTGCAGGATTTTTTGTTTGATTTGAAAGAGGTAATCAATATAAAAAGCATGCACACTACAGAAAATCCTGTCAATTTAGTTTGATGCAATGTATGGTGAAGCATAAAATACATTTATTTATACATTATGAGTTTTGCTAAGCAACCTGCTTTTTTTTTTTTTTTTTTCTGTTTGTTTAATGGTTGATTCCAAGAAATAGTTGAATCTATTAATTAACTTAAACTAATGAAACAGTTCATTGATTTGGGTGGAAGTCTCCTAAAACCGTGTTTGTGAGTGCAGAATAATGGGGAGAAAGCTCCTAAGTTATGTGTTCTTTGACTCTACACTGCATCTAAAATAGATTTGATGGTTGATAAAGAATTGGTTAATTTTCCTAGTTAAAATTTGTTTTTTAATGCGTGTTTGTATATTTGTATACTTACCACAATAGCATATTTTATTTCTCCTTTAGATTGTATATTTTGGGCCGTATTCCTGTAATCACTTTTTTTTTTCAGTTGGACCTTGCCACGGCATCCTAACAAAGTCAATAGATATTCAGTGTTGTGTTCTTCCATCTATTGAATCTGAAGGCGTGTGTGTATGCACATTTCTCTTTCTACATACCTGAATAGCTGCATGAAAGTAAATTAAGCATGACAAGACAGATATCTGTCAGGATTACCTAGGAGGTCTTGCCTTGAGGAAGGTGGGATAGACTGGATGATCATTCAGCCTTCCCCCCCCATGAGCGTGTGCTAAATCTTCTGAATTTTGCAGGCATTAGGCTCTGAAGATTTCAAGGCAAGGAACAATCTGTCTGCCTAGAAAGAATATATGGTGCAAGCATACCTAGTATATCAAACACTGGGCCTAAAAATCCAGCTTTGCATTGGTGTGCATCAAAACTATAAATCATCCAACATTGCTAAGTGCAACAGTGGCAAACACTGCAGGTAATCTATTTATGTGCATGCAAAATGTAACTAAGTGATTACAGTGGCACATATGTTTGTGACTCCCTTGAGATTTTGCAGTTGAGATGTCAGACAAAAGGGATGATAATGTCTTTAGGGGTAGGGATCTTATGTGCACAAACCTCAGCATGCACCATTTCTGTGCTTTGTTAGACATGATTCATTGGTTTGTATTTTGGTTTTGTGTCTGATTGTACTCTTTTTTTTCTAACACTATGCAAACAGTTTTGTCTCCATGAGTTAAAATCTCCATTATTTAAATTTTAAAATAAAACTATAGATTAATTTTCTAAGATTTTTTTTTTTGTTCTCTGTTGTTCTAATGATAAGTTAGCAAAACTTAGGTACTTCATGCATCCGGAAATGCTTTTAATAAAATTTTTACTACTGATAAAATTTATTTCCCATGACATTTGTGTGAGATTTTGTCATGACAGCAAGCAGAGAAAAGTAATATAGGATCTGTAAAGTATAATTGTGAAACTTCACGAAGTGTAAGGGAAAGGCAAAGAAAAGCCAGTAAATTTAAAGCTGGTAATGTCCTTCCTTTTTATTGCAACAGGATAAAATAATTAGTGTTGAGTTTAAAATAAATAAATAAAATAGTCCGAAGTAGCCTAAGAACATTTCCCTAAAAATAGCTTTTTTCTCAGAAAAGTCACTGAGAACTGCATTGATAACTTAGTTTTGAGGGTTTTTTTTTGTTTTTTTTTTGTTTATTTTTTTGTAATTTCACTTCTAATATTAAACACTGGTGAATATGGCTTAACACTGCATAAATTCTATTAAAGAAGCCTTGCATGTAAGGACCTGCCATTAATAATTTTTAAGTGTAAATTGCAGAACCTTTACTCATAGGAGAATTTCAGGCAGATTTAGAGACCGTGATGGATTGATTACTTTAGTGTTTCTAGGACACTGTTATATATTAATGTGAATCCTGCTTTCAGGATAGTGGAATGGTTGTAACAACCACAGACAAAAGTTTTGTGTTGTTGCTGCAGTATGAGTACAGTCATGCAGTCATGGGAATGTCCAGCTGCCCCAAGACAAACACAGCACACCTCAATCCCATTCTCAATGCTTGAACAAAATGAACTTTTTTTTTTTTTTTTTTTTTCATTTGGTTTAATTAAATGGTAGATTATGTATGTGGACTGGTTGCTCTTTTTTTTTTTTCACCAATGGTTCTTTCATTTGTATATTCTGTATATATATAACTATTTCTGTATTTCGAGGTCAAGATAGGTTTTAAGGGGTATGTACTAAAATATGTTCATGACAGATCTGTTGTCCTTAGAGGAACAGGAGCACTGGAACAAAAGGAACATCTATAATTTATTTGGAAACCCTTCAGAAACATGATTGGGAAAGGGAATCATGTTCCTCTATTTAGAATAGAGCAATAGCCTGTTGCTATAGTAATAAAAAATACTGAAACAAAATACTTTGCTGTGTTAGGTTAAAAATAATATTGCAGTAGAACCAATCAAAGTCATAGCAAAAGGGAAGTTATTCTGTAAAACTACTGAAGCTTCTGAGGTCACCTCTCCCAAAAGAAGGAAGTGGTAAATATTGTTAGCTGATTTACAAATGACAGCTGAGATGAGTACAGGTCACTCTTTTCATTACAGTTCTTTCAGACATCTTGTAACTCAGTCCCATTGAAAACTGAGAGATTGCTAGGTTCTTTGTAGCTGTCGCTTCATTTAAGTTTTTTATACATGTAGGGGGTTTTATGGTGGGTTTGTTGTTTGGTTTTTTGTGTGTTTTTGTTTTGGGTTTTTTTTTTTTTTTGAGTTCTCATTCAGTTCAAGTTGGGAATCTATTAAAATACAGTAATGCAAAGAGCTGATCTTGTCCTCTAAACAATGTGCCACAATTAAGCAAATTGAAGCAGCTATAGAGACACAACACCTTCTGTAGTTCAGATAATTATATTTAGTAAGATAAAATACTTATTTGATCTGTAACTAATTCCTTATTTGCTGAAAGAAAACTCACATAACGTTCACTGAAATAATTGTCATGTGCTGTAGTCTGCTGCAACAGTAAATATTTTTAGTTTTATTAACACTTTCATTGGTGAAAATTAAAATGTCCTTCCTGAGAGTGAAGTAATGTTAATTCACTTTGGTACAGAAATTGTCTTGGACCTTAGCTACTCATGTTTGGCTTTTAGAAACTTCATTTATTGCTAAAGATTTAGTGCTACAGCATAGTTTTTTGTCATGTGAAGGTCTCTAGTTTATGATACTTTTCATTGTATTGAAATATGTTATTAGGGAGCTAGTTTGCCTGCTTCAGATGTGCTGTTTTGTGTTGATTAGATTAATTCTAAAATGTAGTTTCTTTATTCTTACAAAATCAGAGTAGCTGGATTTCTTACTGAATTTAATATTTTAATCCTAAAGAGATTTTTTTTTGAAAGGTGAAATATTAATTTTGAAAATATTCAAAATATGAGTGGTATTTTCTCTGATTTTAAAATTTGCCTTTGTGAAATTCATATTGGGATTCAGAAATCTGTGATTTTTTTTTTTTTTTTGCCTGTGTAACAAATGAGTTTTCGGAAGGCATCTTTGTATCTTTTTTTTTTTCTCTTCCTCCTCTCTTCCCTCCCTCCCCTTAAGAAAGTTTCAGCAACAGCCTGAATGTCAACTCAAAAGCTCCCAAGATTTTTTAAAAATTTCTGAGACAAATGAGTGAAACAAGAAGAGGCATCTACTGGGAATTTGCATTTCAGTTGAAGAATGGTGTATGAATGTGTTGAAACTTTGACAAAGGCATGCTTTATCTCAAATCTTAAAATCGTTCAGGTTGGAAAAGCCTTCTAAGATCATAGAGTCCAACCATTAAACTAACACTGCCAAGTCCACCACTAAAGCATGTCCCTAAGTCCCACATCTACATGTCTTTTAAATACCTCCAGGGATGGTGATTTGACCACTTCCCATGGCAAAATGTTCAGGGCCTAATAACAACAAAGTATGGAATGTCTGTGATGAAAAATTTTTTCTTTTATAGTTCAGGCCTTTTTGGTCCTTTTTTAAATTTCATGTCCATACCTAGATTACAGGCTAGGAGAAGGTAGGAGGTATGTGCTACAAGATGCAGTGAAGTGCCTCTTCACTGTGATGCTGTGTAAATCCTGCTTTTGTGCTCTTTGGAGAACAACATGCTGATTTGGAAGTAGCACTTTGGATATAAGTTGACTTTGTGTTGAAATGGTGTTTATATTTCATGGTTCTGTATGCAGCTAATGTCGTTATCTCGCATGGCTAATCTGTAACCTGTATTATCTATTCGTGGATAACTGAGTATAGTGTAGTCCCTTCTTTCATGTCAAGCTGTCTAGTGTAGGACAAAGGCAAAAACAATGTGATACTTTCTAGTGATACTTCTCAGTGATACTTCTAGTGATACTTCTCAGTATTTTTAAGCACTCTTAAAAAAACAAAACTGTAACCTTTTCCTCTCCTGTAGCAAGCTGTTTTTATAAAACATTTTGCATTAAGTATAGCTGAGAAAGTATTGCTGTTAATTGCTAGAAGTGGAACTAAAAGTTAACATCATTTTATGTCAAAGAAAAAGTGATGTTATTTTAGGTGTGCTTTGATCCTAAAGTAGTTGAAGTACTGGAGCATTTATCTCAGTTACTTAAGCTTCACAGTAACTGGCCACCTTTGCAATGCTAAATTGACCAGGCTAGGTGTTACAGATAGTATATTCAAGAATGTGATACTCACTGAGCAAATAATTACTAGAGCACATAATCATTTCTGTTTTGCATTACTGGGGAAATCATAGAATGGTTTTAGTTGAAAGGGACATCCAAAAGTTATTTCATCCAACCCCCCTGCAATGAGCAGGGACATCTACAAGATCAGGTTGCTCAGAGTCCTGTCCAGTCTGACCTTGAATGTTTTCAGGGATGGGGCATCTATCATCTCTCTGGGCAACCTATGCCAGTGTTTCACCACCCTCGTCATAAAAAAAATCCAATATCTAGTTTCTTATTTCTTCCTTATAGTCTTTCTTTTATCTACCCTCTTTTAGTTTAAAACCATTACCCCTTGTCCTATTGCAACAGGCCCTACTAAAGAGTTTGTCCCCATCTTTTTTATAAGCCCCCTTTAAGTAGTGAAAGGTCACAATGAGGCCTTCCTGGAGTTTTCTCCAGGCTGAACAACTCTAACTCTCTCAGCCTGTCTTCACAGGAGAGGTGCTCCAGCCCTCTGATCATCTTCATGGCCCTCCTCTAGATCTGCTCCAACAGGCCCATGTCTTTCCTGTGCTGAGGACTCCAGATGAGGTCTCATGAGAACAGAGTAGAGGGGGAGAATCACCTCCCTCGACCTGCTAGCCACACTGCTTTTGATGCAGCCCAAGTTTGGCTTTCTGGCCTGCCAGCACATGCTGCCATCTCATGTTCAGTTTTTCATCCACTAAAAGGATGGGAAAGGAAAGCTAGTCTGGAGTAAATGTGTGGCTCAGTTTCCTCTGCACAGACAACATTCTCAATCTGTTTTCTCATAACTTTTAGTAAAGAAAGAAAAAAATAGTAGTCAGTTAATCATGTGCCACTTTTAACTGGGTTTTTTTTTCCAGTTTGCAAACAGGTCTTGGATCAATTTCAGTAATTTATTTTCTTTCAGAAATATTCATAAATTGTTACTGCAGAATGATTTCACATACACATATTAGACATTAAAACAGTCTTTTGTTTTCTGTTTGTGATGGATCATTAAGATAATAAAATAGTATGTCTTGTAAGCTAGATCTTTGTATTTGGAGAGCTGTTGAACACTCATAGGTCTTTTACTATTTGTGGATGTTACAGGATTTATTCATCATAATAGGAAATTAAACTGTCGAGCTTTTTGCATATATTTCTGTTGCTGATATTCTTTTAAGCATTTGTAAGTTACTGCCCTGGTTCTGGCCAGGACGCAGTTAATTTTTGCAGCAGCCAGGATGGACACAGCCAGGTCCTTCAGGTTATTTAATACCACCTCATACCATTCGCAGGGGGGAAGGAGTGGGGTGGGTACCCTTCCGATTTGGCCAGGGTGTGTGGAGTGTGCAGTCCAGGTTCCCCAGTGAGCAATCGTGTGTGAATCATTCGCCTATCTTGTACACTCTGTTATTAGTATTGTTGCTGTTACTGTTGGTTTTCTTATCTCATTGCTGTTTCTGGTAAATTGTTCTTATCTCAACCTGTGATCTTTGCCTTATGTCTCCAATTCTCCTCTGGGAGGGGGAGGGTGGAGAGTGAGTGAATGAGCCAGAGTGGGTTGGAAACAAATTTGATCTAAGAATTTGTTGTATTAGGTATGGAGCCACTGGTCACAATGTTGCTTGATCTGTTCATGTGGGTGTGATACCTAACCCTGTATATATTCCTGTATGTGCTCCTCATGGTGCTCTTTTTCAGAGCAGGGAGAGGGAACAGGATTACTTTGTTGCTGTACTGTGGAATATCAGTTTATGACATGATAACATCAAGGGCAATGGGGGTCATTTGTGATGTGTATTCAGTGTTTTTCTTCTGCTCTTACTTCAGGTGCTACCTCTGGGAATTCTTTAATAATTGTTCCCAGTGTGTGGGGGAACAGGGGAGGATGATTTTCCCCAGCTTTTCACCCCCTTTTCTTCCTTCAGGCCTGTTACAGCAGCTTTTGAGAATTTTGAATTCCCTCTGGATGTTGAGGAAAGCATGTTGTTGTTGCTAAGTCTGCCAGGTATCCTCAGTGTGGTCCACACTGTGTTTAGAGTCAAGAAAGATTTCTAGTGAGGTTTTTCAGAGATCTGCCCCAAGGGTGGATAGTCATGAGTGGCATGGAATGTGAGAGGAAATGGGCTAGCTTTTGAAGGATTATTCTGCTCTAGTGGTTTGGAGATTCACCCCTGAAAAAATACAGAACCCTGATAAAGTGGAAGAATATTTCAAAGAAAATCACTGTGGCAGTTCCAGAGAGAGGCAACTTATTGCAGTGTGCTTGGCCCTGGCTACTACTTATTGGACACTGCTTGTCATTAGATGGCACCCTCAGGGGGAGAGGGAGGAAAGCAGATCAACAGGCACCGTGTCCACTCAAACAGCAACTGAACCAGAGGGACAACCCGTGCCGGCAGCAGTTGCCCCTATAGAGAAGAAGAAATCCAAGACAAAATCAGTTCACGTAGTGAGTGATGAGGAGGAAGTAGGGCCCTCACAACAGGAGGAAGAGGCAGGGCCAGAGAAAATCACCCAATCCTTATTCCTGGGTGAGCTGTGAGAGATGTGAAAAGATTTCAGCTGTCATCTGGGTGAGCCCCTGGTGACCTGGCTGCTCTGATGCTGGGATAGTGTAGCCCAGAGTTGGAAACTATATGGTAATAAAGACAAGCAACTGGGATCCCTGTCCCAGGATGCAGGCACTGACAAGGGGTTTGGGAAAAAGATAGAAATCTTCAGCCTCTGGAGGCAACTCCTGTCAAGTGTGAGGGAAAAGTATCTTTTCCAGAACAATCTATCAGTGCACCAAAGCAAGTGGGACACCATGAAGAAAGGTACCTGGTACTTGAGAGAATTAACTGTGTTGGACATACTCTATAAGCATTCAAGTAATGAGCAGTCCCCTATAGATCCAGATGAAGTCCAGTGTACACAACCCATGTGGTGGAAGTTCCTGCAGAGCAGAACACACCATCATCATATGCCAACTCATAGGCAGTGATGTCATGGAAAGAACAAACTGTTGTATCGTGCTTTTTGTTTTATCAGTAGGTCTATGGTTTGATTTATGATTTAGTATTTTTCCTTGGTGCTGGTTTTTTCTTTTGTCTCCACCCTTTTCCCAGAAATGTCGTCAGCTAGTTTCTAGTTTCTATTTCTCCAAATTTTACCCATTTCCTAAGACTGTTTTTTTTCCTTGGAAGTTTATTGGTTTGCTACTGGTATTCTCCGCCTGGGTTTTTACTCCCAACTCTCCTGATTTGTTGGAAGTTGGGTCTGCCCCTGCCTTTCCCCTGAGATATGTCTTTGTCGGCCCCTTAGTGGGGGCCCAGGAAGAAAGAGGGGAAGAAACACCATCAAATAAAGTTTCCCTGGGACCCGTGTGCGCTGTCTGTGTTTTATTCTGCGCCAAAACAACTGACAACTGGGATTCAAGGAGCTCCAGGGGGAAAACTGCTGCCCCTCACTCAACATCAGCTAGCCGGGGAAGAGAAGCAGCAACAAACGGTGGATAATTTGGTTGTCCAACTCCAGCAATATAAAGAAACTCTCTCTTTTCCCCTTTGGGCCTGTGTCTCTTCCATGGAAAGACTGTCCAAGGACCTCCAGCAATTTAAAGAGGAAATGTCCCATGCCCCACCAGTACAGACCAATGTGTCTGCTATTGGGAGCCAGTGCCTCCCTGCTCAAGAGAGGATTCACACAACAAGGTAACCTGTGATTTTTACCTGCATGACCATGGAGAGGGTATGAGGAAGTGGGATGGAAAACCCACCAGTGCCCTAGGAGCATGGATATGCGAGTTGAAAGGAAGAACAACCACTGCAGGAAATTCTTAAAGGATAAATGCTGCTTCAGTTTCCAGTGGGCAGGTCCTCAGGCAAAATAGGAGGGTTGATGTTACTTCTGATCCTCTTGAAGGGACCTCCAGGTCATGTTTACAAGAAGTGAGTAATGAGTACTATGACCAGGAATAGAGGGGTCCTGCCTCCATCCTGGTGGAGAAAAGGGACAATTGGATCTACTAGATTGTGTGGACCTGATAGTCTGGCACACCAGACCCATAAGAGTATAAAGCTTTAGTTGACACTGTCACACAATGTACCCTGATGCCATTGAGATATGTAGGGGCAGAATCTATCTCTGTTTCTGGGGTGATAGGGGGATACCAAGAGCTGACTGTACTGGAAGCCAAGGTGAGCCTGACTGGGAACAAATGGCAAAAGCGCTTTATTGTGACTGGCTCAGAGGCCTCAGGCATCCATGTCGTAGATTACCTCAGGAGAGGGCATTTCAAGGACCCAAAAGGGCACCATTGGGCTTTTGGGATAGCTGTTGTGGAGACAGAGGGAATTAGACAGCTGAATACCTTGCCTGGTCTCTCAGAGGACCCTTCTGCTATTGGACTGCTGGGGGTTGAAGAACAACGGGTAGTGATCGCTACCACAACAGTGCACTGTCAACAATACCGCACCAGCTGGGACTTGACTTGGGGATACTAATTGAATTTATTACCAACAAAATCAGAGCAGGATAATGAGAAGTAAAACAAATCTTAAAAACCCCTTGCCCCAACTACTCCCTCCTTCCAGGGCTTAACTTTATTCCTGATTCTCTACCTCCTCACACCCCAGCAGTGCAGGGAGACAGGGAATGGGGGTTACAGTCAGTTCATAATCTGTTGTTTCTGTCTCTGCTTCCTCTCCAGGGAGAGGAGTCACAGAATCACAGAATCAACTAGGCTGGAAAAGACCTTTGAGATCACCAAGTCCAACCTATGACCTAACACCACCTTGTCAACTAGACCATGGCACTAAGTGCCCCATTCAGTCTTTTCCTAAACACTTTCTAGGGACAGTGACTCTACCACCTCCCTGGGCAGCCCATTCTGATGCCAAATTACTCTTTCTGTATAGGGCTCACCTCGGCCAGGTTTCGGGGTGTCCCCGGCTGGCTGCCATGATGTCACAATCTGTCCTCGAGGACAAGATTCGTGAAGGTTCTTTTCACTGATCTCAGGGTGCCAAAACTGACACGACAAGGGGGTTTTGCAGTGAAAATAAAAAACAAATGTACCTTTATTGAATGACCACAGCAAAATGCGTTAGGGAGAAGGGTAATGAAGAAAAGGGAAAGAATAAGGAAAAAAGAGGGGAGGAAAAGAAAGGAGGGTATAGCTACCAGACGTGTGGATGACTGTTGCTGTCCAGGCGGTCGCGACACGAAGCAGAGACCACAAGCAGTCTCAGATGGCAACTCTTTATTATCGAACATGGCTGACCTTTTATACACTTTCTGATTGTTTATGCTTCTTCTACCCTAACTATTGGACACAATAAATCAACATAACACCATTGGTGAAAAGTTACAGTGACTTAACTAACTTTCTAAAAATACTTTGTGCAGCTGTGAAGTTCTTATCTTTCTTCAGTTCCTCACTTCTCTTGGTCTCCTTGGTTACAGCCTTGGAGAGAGCTCCTTATCAGCTTCTTCTTTCTTCTCAGCTTCTTCTCGCTCCTTTGGCTAACAGGCCTGCTGTTAGCCTCTTCCACAGATGACGAGGTCCTTCGAAGTCCAGTCAATGAAGGTTGTTGCATGCACGTCAGGGGAGATCTCAAAAGCCCCTAGCTAACCTAGGGGTTTTTATTATTGAAAATTGCAAAGGGCGGGAGAACACATACAATAGTCCATGATCTCAGCAGTGGGCGAGAGCCATTGTCTTCTCGGTCCCGTGGTCACTTGCAAACTCGCTTTGGTCACTTGGCCTCCCCACACACACCATCCCCCCCTCTGCAGTAGGGATTTCAGTCTCAGTCCTTGGGGAGGAAGGGGGAGCTTTTCCATATAGGGGTCTCATATCTCAGTCCTTGGGGGAGAAAGACTTCTCTTATCTCAGTCCATCTGTCACGGTGGTTGATGCATGGTAAAAAGAAGGGTCTTTTTCATGGTGACCACCCAAAAGGTCATTCTAGAGAGAAAGTCCAGCCAAGTTAGGAGGTCGGGGAAATTCCAGAATCAGCATTGCTAAGTGATGCAGGTGAAGGAGGGCACAGTGTCCCTTTCCTTATTTATCGAGTGCAGCGTCCCATGAGGTGGACAAACACATCTGTGGAAACAGTGGCTTGGCGGGCGACAATTCAGGCAGGATCAGGATCCTAGAGCAGGATCTTTTTCCCCGGTAGTCTCGGCTTTCATGACGATCGAGAGGCAGAAGATAAGGGAAATTTCAGACAGACACATATGGGGTCCGGATAGCACAGTCCTGTTCAGCACAGCCTGTCTGAGTTCCCAGGCAGCTCCCAGATGCAGGCAACTGTTGCAAGCAGTTCAGTTATTAGTGATTTCAGCTCTTAAGTGATTATCAGCTCATTTGGTGATTTCAGCTCTTTAGCTTGCTAAGTGCCTTTGGCAGACTCAGGGAGAGAGAGGAGAAGCGCTGTGTAAGGTTCCACAGGGATGTCAAGATGTCCTTTATTGATCTTCTGCAAAGGTCTCAGTGACAGCGTCTTCTGACAAACTGGGCAAAAGTAGCTCTTTATATAGGGTACAGGAGTTTTAGAAATTGTCCAATAGTAAGGGTAAAAAGGAAAGTGATCTATAGTCTTACAGAGAGATAAGCAAGGGTCCGAAGGCAGAAAGAGGGGCTTCTAAGGTCCAGTCATCATGACTAGGCATTTCTTATCTTAGGCTGCTGACCACCAGGGAGGCCTTGCAGGCCCTGTGCCTGCTACATTTCTGTGAAGAACTTCCTAATGTCAAACCTAAACCTCCCCGGGCACAGCTTAAGATTGTGTCCTCTTGTCCTGTAGCTGGTTGCCTGGGGAGAAGAGACTGACCCTCACCTGGCTACAACCTCCTTTCAGGGAGTTGTAGAGAGTGATAAGGTACTTCTGCTGTCCAGCATGGCGTCCCTCCTGTGCGAAGCAGTCTTCCATTAACTTCTCCAACATGAGTCATTCCCATGAACTACAGTTCTTCATGAATTGCTCCAACATAGGTCCCTTTCCACAGCACCATCCTTCAGGCATAGCCTGCTCCAGCATGGGTCCTGCACAGGGTCACATTCCTGCCAGCATCCTGCTCCAGCATGGGCTTTCCATGGGGTCACAGTCTCCTTCAGGCATCCATCTGCTCCAGCATGGGTCTCCATGGGCTGCAGGTAGATCTCTGCATCCCCATGGTCCTCCATGGGCTACAGGGGCACAGCTGCTTCACCATGGTCTTCACGACAGGCTGCAGGGGAATCTCAGCTCTTGTACCTGTAGTGTGGTAATCACATATCCTCTGAACAGAGAGAGACATAGCTGTCCCAGGATTTTCCTGGGAAGCTGTGAGAAGCTGTGAGAAAGCTCAGAGAAAGAATTAAAACAATTATTATTTCTCTTTCTGTAACTGTTGTTTATAGATATGATTCTCCAGAGTGTGCTATTCATAGTTCACCAGTAATGTGAGAGAAGATTCCTAAAGGCCAATCAGGTCTTAGGTCCACCATTATTTCTATAAGAACTGTAGATTTCTAAGAATAAAGTGCCTTTTCATGCCTTCTGATGATGGAGTCTCTGTATCACCTTTGGCTGTCCCTGATACCCCTTCGGTGATAATTGGTGACCCCTTTGGTGATAATTGGTGACCCCTCGTGTGGGTGAATACACTGCCTTGGTTTTTTGATGACTCTTCTGAAGTCTGTCCGAACATCGGCCTGACATTGCTGACCCCTTCAATGGTACAGACAAACTGGGGTGACTATTACTGACCCCAGCCATGTGTCTGGCACAAACTGGAGACCATCTGGATCTCTTTGTCAGAGGAACTCAGGCTGACCTCCAGCGTTCCCTGCAAGACAGATTGGATGTCTTTTGCCCTCCTAGAGAGGTAACTGTGGTCTTCCTGGAGAAGACTTGTCCCTTTGGGACTGTGGACATCGTCTAGCCTAAGAGCTGGAAGGGGACAGACCAAGTTTTCCTTAAAAATGGGGAACCAACTTTTCAGAGATGAACAAACGATTGTTTCTGTGTGGAGGAATCTGATAATTCCTCTGAGATTCACTGTGTCTGATGAAGCCCTCTGCAATCTGCTGGCCTGGGCCAAAAATCACAGCTTCGCAGCAGATCTGGGAGCTGCCGTTGATTCAGAGACTTGGGAATGTCTCGGTGATTGTTTACTAGCTGCAGTCACAACAGGGGATGCAGTCGCAAGGACTTTACTGCCTCCCTGGAGATGCACTTCTAAAGCCCTTCGATGCAAGCCCCCAGGAAACAGAAAAGTGACAAAGCCAACGTGTTTTTCGCCTTTGATGGCTCTGGGAACTGTGTCCCGATCGACTCGGACGGACCATCCCGTTCCATTTCTGCCAGCTCCCACTCTCCCCGCATCGAGAGCGGCA